GAGGAAGATGTGCTCGACAGAGACAAGTGGAGAAGAGCAACCAAAGCAGCTGACCCCAGGACAGTCTGGGACTAAGGCTGTGAAAAAGAAGAAGACGATGAAAAAGTTACCAGCAGTGGATATGTGACCTAAAAACATCCATATAGCTTTATTAGTTCAGGTGGGTAGCTGCATCAGCATGCGTAGGCTGCAAAGGAACAAGTAATAGGTTTATTCCATGCTGAAAAAAAGAAGAAAGAGAACAACGTTTCGGCCGTGGCGCAACTTTCAATGAAATTCACTGCCTGACTGAGGGACCTTACGGAGATGGGTGCATTTATTCTGAAATCATGTAAACCAGTATTGTTACACACAGACAGAAGCCACTAAACTAACTGTTATTTTTGTGCACCTGAATTCAATTAGTTTTGACAAGATTCAGAGGGAAAGATGGTGATAAGTACTAATTGTTATTAAAAAATGACTTAAATTCAAACATGTTGTGATGTTTAGAAATATAAAAAAGTCAATGAATTGTCCATAATATTACTATTTTATTTTTTCAAAGAAATGTTTGTTAAAAGAAAATTTGTGGCGCTAGCTGGATTTGAACAGCCAACCTCTTGCTTATAAGTCAGGCACTTAAATCATCACGCCACTCGCACGGTCACATGATGAGTGGTGAAACAGCCCTATACATTGTTTGTGTACAGTATATACAGTACTACTGTTTGTGTTGCAGTACATGAATATAATTGTATCGTTATTAATTTCTTTAGATACGCGATTCCATATTATATTCCCTATTAATCAAATTCTAAAAGTATGCTTGTTTACTCCGGTATCGAGCGTCTTCTCAGAAAAGCTTAAAACTACCACTTTTCTCACAGAGTACTGTATACACATGTTATTTCACATGTTAGTTAAAGACTTTGATGCTTAAAATGTTTAGGGAGAAATGGAATACTGGTGTGTAACAGCCATATACAGTTTACATAATACTGTATGTTTATGTTCCAAAATTAATATTGTTTATGACCTTCACATGCGTTATGCTCCTATTCTTTTTATGCTACTAAAATTTCCCTTCAGTGGTAAAATTCCATATAAATATTCAATTCTAAAACGTGCACAGTAAAGACATTACATATACATATACAGTACAGTTTACATACAGTAATATGTTTATGTTCCTAAATCAATATCTTTTATGAGCATGTGAAAGGTGTGGTGAATCTGAGATTCTCAAAAATTACTGTACTTTGCATGATTGGAAACAAATGCGTGATTGGATCAATGAAATGCTGTGGTGTTACTTTTTGTTAATGAAAAAATAGAAGTATTTTCGTTTACAAAGACGGTCAATGAAAAAATAAAATCTTTTCGTTTTAAAGATTGTTACAAAGAATGTGGACCAGGATAATACTTTGAGTTTACAGCTTGTCCAATGTCATTCATTATTAATACTATTAGTAATATCTTCGGTAAAGACTTTGATGGCGACAGCTCAAACGCTGTACATGAGAGGTTGAGCTTGATTAGCTCCACCTTACAGAAATTCCGCATACTATTATTTTACAAATGGTACCATGCGGTATTATGCGAGAATATACGGTATTATAAGGTAACGTGAGTTATACTACGACAAGCGCACCGCGTTTTAATGCGGTATCGCCCGCTTGTTTTGAATGGCTGCATATGTATATCATTATTTATTCAACAAAAAGTAAGCCAAAATGCAGAAAGCATGTGGGGAAAAATTAAGTACACCCTTACTGTTTCCATAGGAATTAAGGTAATTAGCAGCCAGGTGCTGCTAATTACAGTATCTGCACTTGATTAGTTGATCATCAGGAAGTGTGACCAGTTCGGTGGTCTGGAGCATTCAGCCATTCAGGTGTGTGTTAACACCATGCCAAGGAGAAAAGACATCAGCAATGAACTCAGAGAAGCAACTGTTGCTGCTCATCAGTCTGGGAAGGGTTATAAGACCATTCCCAAACAATTTGAAATTCTACAGTGAGAATGGTGGAACGGCTTAGGTTTGCAAAGTTGCATTTGAAAAAACTACAAGATGTCTTTTGGACAGACAAGACCAAAGTGGAGATGTTTGGTCATTATGCACAACGCCATGTTTAGTGATAACCAAAGAGCGTATCACCACAAACACCTCATACCAACTGTCAAGCATGGGGGTGGAGTGGTGATGATTTGGGCTTGTTTTGCAGCCAGAGGACCAGGGCACATTGCAGTCATCAAGTCGATCATGAACTCATCTTTATACCAAACTACTCTAGAGACAAATGTGAGGCCATCTGTTCGACAGCTAAAGCTTTGTCAAAACTGGGTCATGCAACAGGACAATTATCCCAAGCCCACCAGCCATTCTACAACTGAATGGCTAAAAAAAGAAAAGAATCAAGTTGTTGGAATGGCCAAGTCAAAGTCCAGACTTCAACCCCATTGAGATGCTGTGGCGGGACCATAAGAGAGCTGTGCATAAATGCCCTCAAACATCAATGAACTGAAGCAAAGTGAGCCACAATTCCTCCAAAACGATGTGAGAGACTGATAAACTTACAGAAAACGATTACTTCAATTTATTGCTGCTAAAGATGGTTCTACAAGCTACTGAATCATGGGGTGCATTTAGTTTTCTTCTGCATGTTGGCTTACTTTTTGTTAAATAATGAGGTGTTGTTTGTCCTGATATATAAAACCATAGAATTGAAAGAGGGTGTTCCTTTTCTTTTTCACATGACTGTATGTATAGCATCCACCTGATCCACCTAAGTGAACACAATACACTTACCACTCATCTAGTGCCAGTGGGAAGGAGAACAGAGTGATGAAGCCAATTCATAGATGGGGATTACTAGTAGGCCATGATTGGTAAAGGTCAGAGGGAAATTTGGATAGGACATTGGGGCTAACACCCCTGCTCTTTTCAAGAAATGCCCTTGGATTTTTGATGAGTCAGGACCTCAATTCTGTGTCATCCAAAGGATGGTGCCATTTTTACAGTATAGTGTCCCCATCACTATACTGGGGCATTAAGACACACACAGACTGCTGAGTGAGCACTCTCTACTGGTCTCACCAATACCTCTTAAAGCAGCAACTTGTAGGTCTCCCATATGCTTAACTTCAGTGGGTTGCAGTTGTGAGTTGCAAGGTGCTGCTGAGAAGCAGATGGATGTAGCAGTAATCAGGTGTCCCCTTCAAGACTGAAGAAGATGCAACACAGAAAAGTACTCTTCTCCAGAGTTAAACTATTATTCCACGCATGTTTGTTAAAGTTTACTTTATTAAAGTAAATGAAAATTGACTTATCATTGTGAACATGAATGTGATTAACTACATGAAACTGATATGACCTATAAGGTAGACAGTAACAGTATTTTTATTTAAATGTTATCATTTTACTTTATAGTGTTATATTTAACATAACACAATGCATAAACCTAGTATTTTATTGGGTTCTTATTGTGTGTCACCTATAACATAAAAATAACACAAATTGCCCAGGCTAAATGTCATTCTCAATACACATTTTGTGATGTTTATGTCCCATGACTGTTACCTCCCTGTTTTTATTCAAGTTGAGAGCAAAGGCAGAAAAATCATCAGATTTTTGTGTTAAAAAAGTTTTCAAAAGTTTTTGTTTATTCTATTTGGAATTGGAGCTTCATATTACTGAGGAAAGTGGTCTTCTTTGGTAGGAAAATAACTTATAGTAGTTGTTTTGTTGTCGTGTTTATTGTTATGGTTTATTTTAGTTGTCTTGTTTATTGTATTTGTGTGTTTTAATTGGTGGATTTTGGTATTGTTTTATATAATTATTTATTATTGGGTATGATCTAAATTCCACACACCTTTTTAAACCTACTGATCACATCTCACAAGCTGTCTGATGACTTTATTTCTCCCATATGATATAAGATGAGTTGGCTCGTATATTTATTAAAGTGCAATCCTATATCAAGTTTTTTTCTTGCTACTTACTTCCAGTAGCCGTCCCGTCTGCATTGACCACACAAACACTTCAAAGGAATCCTGGGATCCCGAACTCACAATCTCCCCACTGCTGTCCAATGCCAAGCAGGAGAACTGGGTAGGCCGAGGTGAAGTGAATGTACGGAAATTACGGTATCTGTCAAGTAACAGGTATAAATTTACCTTAGTTTCTCAGTAATTCTTGCATCCATAAGAAAATGCCAACAAAATGGAATGGCCAAATAGTCTTATCTCTGGTTTTAACAGGAGATTCTAAATTAATGTATTAAAATTATACCCCTTTTCTAATCAGTTATCTTAAGTCAGTGAAAGTGAGTGTTATTACAGGGTCATTTATCTTTTGTTTGCATTCATTCTGTGGTAATGTTATGGATTATATGAGCCGCAGGAGAGAAGAGAAAATTAGGTTTAGGAACATTCAGGACAGGAATGATGGAATCATGGGCTCATTAAGAACATAGGAATGTACAAATGAGAGTAGGCCATTTGTTTCCATGTGCTTAAGTCCCTTAAGCAACTGTTAACCATTGTCAAAGGTCAAATTGTCTCCTCACATTGATTACTTCTATTATGATCCATGAAGTTTCACTGAAATAAGGAGACTTATTTTTATTCTAATGAAATGACTAAATATAAGAAGAGTGATTTAAGGACACAACTGACTGGTGTGCCAAGTATTTTGATTCACAGATGCTTAAGGGGTATCAATAATAGGGGTAAACATACAGGGGGCTTATTTAGTAAGTTGACCTATTCAGAGAATTCTCATGAAAACTACACAACACGAAAGAAAGAAACTTGATATATATTAAAACTGGACAATGGAACCATCCTCCTGTGGACAATAATATTACACAATAAAAGATGCTTTATTTAAGTGTGAAACTTGTACCTGTGCAGATCGAATGCTCTGACAGTGCCATCCAGCGAAGCGCTTACTATCACAAAGCCACTAGAAGCAAATGCCACCTCTGTGACACTGCTGGTGTGCTCAGTGAACGTCACAAAACAGAAGCCACTGTTCGTATTCCACACTTTCACCTGCAACAGACAAAAAGGTATAACCCCACACTGGAAGAAGATGTCATGTTGCTTTTAAGGGTTACCTTGCTTCTGTTTTTTCTGAACACCCATTTGTCATACACTTTAATACAGTCCTCCCCCATTAATAAAAAATTAACTCTTAAAATGGCGCACAAAACATGGTGTCATGCATAACACGGGATTCAGCTATGCTGAATTAATATATGTTAATCCAGTGGTCCTCTACCTTTTTATCAACTGGGCCACAATCGTGGTTAAAAGCAAGTCTCACGGGCTGCATATATTCATCACTACTAGGCCTACCTTATCTGCGTGCATAATAGCTATTATAATATTAGATTATAATATTATAACATGAATAGTAATATATAATATTATATATGATAATAATATGAATAGCAATATATAATAGTAATTATATTAGTAGTAATTTATAATATTATAATAGCTATTAACCATGTATATGTATGAGCAAAGTGCTTCTGAAGTTGCACAGCTGATGAAGGACATCTGTCCGAAACGTCCTGTTTCTCAAGAAACCTTGTGTACTACACCACTTTTTCAACCTCTCTCTCTCTATCACCATCACTGAATGCTTTGCCATGTTTAGCAAGTAGCCATGAAATTTTGAACGTGGCTAACGTCACCACCTGGGACACTAGTAGCTTGCATGATTTTCTGCTTGGCAATAGCAGTTTTGTTTTTAGATGACTTATCTTTAGATCTGTCACTTGAATCACGTGGGTACTGCTTGTCAAAAGTCTTGTAAGTAGTATCAAAATGTCTTTTTACACTGTACGCTTTGCAAGCGCTAATAATTTTACTATGAAGCAAATAGAAAGGCTGCCCATCTATCAATCTTGGCACATTTGCTCCTCCATTCTTCCAGGACTTTCCTATCCTCATCGTTGATGCTCCGACTCTTTTTTCTGTTTGCACGTTTTGTTGTCTGTATTTGTTTCGTTTACATTTTCTTCCTCTGGCCCATGTATTTTTCACCTCTTACAACAAACTTATCCATTTATCTTTCTTTTTTTATACAAACTAACAGGCTACTAGGCTAGGCAACCCTGCTGTGAGTGGGCTATTGTTTGTGCTCAGACGAATGACAGGTACGACGGTGAAGGCAATATGAAAGTGTGTTCTTGTGATGCGCGTTATGTGCTAGTCAAGTGCTACGTGCAGCACTTTAATGAAATTCAAGATGAATGAAAATTAATCTAATCTCCAGCGAATCTATTCAGAAATGTTTTTTACATGAATAGAACACACTCTTAGTGGGGCTGTGAGTCTACCTATTTTATATTATTTTTATCGAAGGAATTGACTGCAAACAAATGTAAATTATTAAAGAGGGGTCGGACATTGCGGGCCACACTTTCGTGTGTGGCAGGCGCAGATTGAGAATCTATTCAGCAGCTTTTGAAAATAAAAAATGAACAAAAAGTCAAACACATTGGTTGCTAAATTAAATGTATGACCTTTTTGACACAGACCCTCCACTGACTGCACATCCACTTTCATTATTTGACAAACTGCAAGTGCCACAGCAGCAACTGAGGTCACAGCAGGTCTATAGGTAACTAACAAGCTACAGGAGTTGCAACTTTGCTGAAAAGTACCCACCCTAATACCCACCCTAACCTGGCAGCATGCTTCTTATTCTGCACCACCCATTCTTTGAATCCAAGTAATAGTAGGATAATTATAATAATGACAGTAATGCCTGCAATGGATACAATGACAGAGGTTGAAGGTCTCAATGTATCCTAAGCAGTTATATAAATGTTTAGAAACTATTATAACTATTGTACTGACTGAATTAAACCTACTTTCTGCTTGAATTAAAACCCATGTCAATTTCCAATGCTCAATATATGATAGCTATATAATTTATACAAACTATATTACCACTGGAGACCTGGGGATAAAATTCATCAAGAGAAGGGTTGTAAATGCTACATTCAGTTAAGCAATCCATTTAAATTGATTGATAACAAAATGGGTGATAAATTCAACTGCTGAAGTTGAAGCTTAAATTAACACATACCTTTCCGTCGTCTCCTCCTGTGACAATATACTGTCCATCTGGTGAATACACCAGAGACACCAAGTTATTGAAATGACCCTGCTGCTTGAGAACGTAAGACTCACTCTGCCATTCCCAAACCAGCAGCTGCCCAAGACCTGCAACAGAGTGAGATAGAGACTTCTTTCCGTTACGCTCTAGCTGGTAAAAAAATCTGGCATCCTTAATAACCCCTGGCACCAAATGCATGGATACAACACCCCACAGTGGCACTGCACCAAGATTTTCTTGATTTATAGTTTTAACTTCTCCACACTGGAAATTACATATTGTACAAATGTAAGGCTGGTGTCAGGAAGAGATAACACTAAATATATTAAGACAGAAAAAATGTAATAAATTGAGGTATTTCTTTTGTGTGTAAATCAACTGATGATGTAAAGTAAAGCTATAGACCTTAAAATGACATCTACATAAATATAAGATCCTTTATTGGACAAATTTATATAGAAGTAATTAGTGCACTTTTTGGCCTTTAATTTTAATATTATTAATATTTTAAACTAGCAATGGAAAATGTAATTTCTACAAAATAAGCACATTCAGACACAGGGTTCCCACTCATTTCTACCAACAAAATTCCTTGACTTTTCCATAACTTCTAACCAAATTTCCATGACTATATTTCTGCACTTCCATGAATATGTTGGCTTTACAACTGCTACAACTATTTGTGGGATTTAGAGCAGTGGTATTTAATTCATTCCTTAGGCCCCTGTCCTGCACATTTGTCCTCTTGCTCACTTGATTCAACTAAGGGTTTGGTGATTTGATGATTAGTTCTTTCAGGTGTGGAAGAGCTTGGCTAGAGGAAAAATACATAGGCCAGTTCAATACCACTAAGCATAAATGTGGACTACAACTTACAGAATGACAAATATATATGAGTGTAAGGTCACCCTTATGATTTATTTCTTAGGAAAATTGTACAAAAAAGAACAACAAAACCATAAATAAAAGTGTCTACAGTTGCTATTGATTTTCAGATACAAAACTTTCATTTATTTCAAATACATTCTTCCATGGGATTACTTTTCTTTTAACTTAACAGCATGTTTACTCCTAGAACATTAACAACATTCCAGTAAGCCCACATAGGCTAGGAAAATGTATATTTCATGCTAAAAAGAGAAGAAAAAAAATATACATATCTTTCTACTCTTTTCAGCATGGAATAAACCATTACTTGTTCCTTTGCAGTTCCTACCCACCTGAACTACAGATACAACTATTCAAAATGCATGGTACAAACCCGTACTGCACACAACTACCCACAAGCCACTGTGGCATACCACAGTATGTGAAGGGCTAGCCAAAATGACCCGACAGGGGCACTCGCGGTGCATTGGTCGTTAGTGAAAAGTTGAATAATTTAATCAATTTACTGTGAACGTTTTAATCCGCTTAGCATTGAGTATTTATATGGAATTTTACAACTAAAGGGACATTTTAGTAGCTGAGCATAAAAAGAAGAGTAGCATAACGCATCTGATGGTCATAAACGATATTAATTTAGGAACATAAACATTATGTAAACTGTATATGGCTGGTATTGGTAGTTTAAAGAAAAAATACACACCAGTATTACACTTTATTCCAACATTTTAAGCATCAAAGTCTTACATGTGTCACCGCGCTGGTGACCAGGCACAGCCTGTAATGTCAGGCGTATGCGTTAAATGCGTTATAGCTACAGACCATAAAAAAACAGGATTCACTTTTTTTCACATATTAAATATTCACATATTAAACTTAATGTGGTCAGAAGGAGCACCTAAAAACGTTTCCGAAATAACCACATGCAAGACTTTGATGCTTAAAATGTATAGGGAGAAAGTGGAATACTAGTGTGTATTTTTTCTTTAAAGTACCAATACCAGCCATATACAGTTTGTAACATAGGGATTTCTATATTTATGTCTTATACAAGTCTTATACAACTGTTTGAGCTACAGAATATACAAATAATTATATCCTTATTCATTTCTTTAGATATACGATTCCATATTATATTCCCTATTAATTAAATTCTAAAAGTATGCTTTTGTTTACTGCGATAACAAGCGTTTTTGCAGAAAAGGTTAAAACTATCACTTTTCACAAAGTATATAAACTTAAAGTATACTTAAACTTATTTATATACTTACTTAGTATATAAACACGTAAAAACATTTTCAAAATAACCACATGTAAGAGTTTGATGCTTAAAATGCTTAGGGAGAAAGCGGAATACTGGTGTGTATTTTTTCGTTAAAAATACCAATACTAGCCATATACAGTTTACATAATATGTTTATGTTCCTAAATTAATATTGTTTATGAGCATGTGAAAGGCATTGTGAATCGGAGATGTATGATTGGAAACGAATACGTGATCGGATCAACGAAATGCTTTGTTGTTACTTAAGTCAATGAAAATAAAGTATTTCCGTTTACAAAGAAAGTTGACCAGGGTAATACTTTGAGCTTACAGCTTGTCCAAGGTCATTCATTATTCATACTATAAGTAATATCTTCGGTGTAGACATTATAACTTTTTTATGAAATAAGCTCTATAAGCTTAATGTTAGAATTAAAACCAGAACCCACTAAGTTACCAAGTTAAAGACTTTGAAGGGTAAAATATTTATGAATAATCAAATTATTTATGATAAAGGTGGTAGGTTGAGTACTTTTGTCAAACTGAGCTATCTTGCTTTTATAAAATATACAAAATTTTTAAAGTCTAATGATTTATATGCTGTAATACACAGTTTAAAATTAAAAGTCTCACGAGTATACAACTTAAATTCTTAATTGCATAAAAATTGTCCCTCAGCAGTGATCGGGATTCGAAACCGGATTTTTTCTGGTGACAGCTCAAATGCTGTAAATGAGAGGTTAAACTTTATTCGCCAGGTGGAGCTGTTTTACAAGGTGATTCCGGATACTATTAATAATCTAATTCACATGCAGTAAAATGCAGATGATGCGATATGACTCTCTATGATGCAACACACCCACCGCGTTGCACCGCTGCGTACCACGCTCGTTTTGAATGGCTGCATCTGTACTAGGAAAATATATGGCCTTTTTCATTCCTGAAATGCTTCACAGAAACTTCTCTGACATGCAGCGATTTAAAATAGGGAGCAATTCCAAAAGTGGTCACACATGCAGATTTTGTTGCGCCACAAGAAAATTTGGCTGAGATTTCACTGTCACGGAACATTGATTTAAACAGTTGCCCAATGTTGGTGCAAGAATAATGTGAATCAATTACTTTCAGCTTCCACAAAACACATAATTGTTAGACACCGATGTCTGTTTATAGCTGCAGATGAGTTGAGAAAGGTTCAGATTCCAATTGTTTCTCTTGCAGACTTATCATTGTCAATGCATTTTCTACCCTTCGCGTGACTTGATAGCAAAGCTTCACCCATATTCTTTATGTCAAAAGTTTTCCCACATAATTTACAGTGCCTTCAGAAAGCATTCAGACCCCTCAAATTTTTCCAAACTTTGTCGTGTTGTAGACTTATTTCAAAATGGATTAATTGGTTCTTTTTTACCATCAATCGACACACAATACCCCATAATGAAAATGTGAAAACACATTTTTTGGAAGTTTTGCTAATTTATTAAAAATTAAAAACCAAAATCTCCCATTTACATAAGTATTCAGACTTTTTATTCAGTACTTTGTAGGACCACCTTTAGCAGCGATTACAGCTGCGAATCTTCTTGAGTATACTTCTAGCAGCTTTACACACCTGGATTTGGGCAGTTTCTCACATTCTTCCCTGTAGATTCTCTCAAACTCTGTCAGATTGGATGGGGAGCATTGGTGAACTGCAATCTTCAGGTCTCTCCACAGACTTTCAATGGGGTTCAAGTCCTGGCTTTGGCTTGGTCACTCAAGGACATTCAGAGACTTGTTCTGAAGCCACTCCAGCATTGTCTTGGCTGTGTGCTTCAGATCGCTGTCATGCTGACAGCTGAATCTTCGCGCTAGTCCAAGGTTGTGTGTGCTCTGGAGCGGGTTTTCTTCAAGGACCTCTCTGTATTTGGTTCCGTTCATCTTGCCCTCAATCCTGACCAGTTTCCCAATCCCTGCCACTGAGAAGTATCCCCACATCATGATGCTGCCACTACCGTGCTTCACCGTATGTATGGTATTAGCCAGGTGATGAGCGGTACCTGGTTTTTGCCAGACAGTGAGTTCAATTTGTGTCTCATCAGACCAGAGAATCTTGTTCCTCATGCTCTCAGAGTTCTTTAAGTGTCGTTTGGCAAACTCTAGGCAGGCTGTCATATGCCTTTCACTCAGGAGTGGTTTCCATCTAGTCACCATACCATAGAGACCTGATCGATGGAGTGCTGCAGAGATGGATGTCCTTCCGGCAGGTTCTCCCATCTTTACACTGGAACTCCGAAGCTCTGGTCGAGTGACCATTGGGTTCATGGTCACCTCCCTGACCAAGGCCCATCTTGCCCAAATACCCTATTTGGCCAGATGGCCAGCTCTAGGAAGAGTCTTGGTGGTTCCAAAACGGGTCACTGTGCTCCTGGGAACTTTCAATGTGTTGCCAGTTTTTTTTATACCCTTTTCATATTGACAGATTGACACAATCTTATCTCAGAGGTCTACAGAAAGTACCGTGAACTTCATGGCTTGGTTTTTACTCTGTCATGTACTGTGAACTGTGTGACCTTATTAAGACAGGTGTGTGCCTTCCTAAATCATGTCCAATCAAGTGAATTTGCCACAGGTGTATTACCATCAAGTTCTAGAGACATCTCAAAGATGATCAAAAGAAATAGGATGTATCTGAGCTCAATTTGGAGTGTCATAAGAAAGGGTCGGAATACTTTTGTAAATGGAAGATTTAAGTTTTTTATTTTAAATAAATTTGCAAAAAAATCTAAAAACTTGTTTTCACTTTGTCATTGGGTGTCGATTGATGGCAAAAAATAATTAAATCCATTTTGAAATAAGTCTACTACACAAAGTGTGGTAAAAGTGGAGGGGTCTAAAGGCACTGTACATCTCACACGTCCTGGGTCTTCATCTTTTTGGAGCCATAGCTTGTATTTTTCATCTGCTAACCAGAGGTCACAGAAAACACCCGCATTGTGACACGGGTGCTAGGCAAGCTTACTATGTATAGCTCAGTATAAAATTCCCATGAGAGGGTCTGACGCGACACTATAATGTGTATTGTTAGCAATGGCAACGCCACAGCCTCTTTTTAAACGTTTTCGAACTTACGAACAAAATTACATGATAATGATAATTTTGGGTCAGTTAAAAAAAAATCCATTACTTTTCCAAAACTTAATGGATATTTTATAATTTTCCAAAATTTTCCAGGATTTCCATGACCTTTGGAAACCCAGCAGAACCTGAAGATAATTCTTCAGCCCATCAACTGTGTATTTTAAACTCACCTGCACAGCCAAAAGCTATCAAGTCGCCAATGTCACTGATGGATACTGATAAAATCCTTTGGTCTGAAATACTGAAAAACAAACATTTACAATAATAATGACAAAAACTGCACCTTCAATTAATACCTAAAAATAATAGTTTCTAATGGTATGTTTCTGACATTTTTTACATGTGGCTGATGTCCATTTGCTGCTCCTGACATTTGCCCATTATAGTCAATGCTGTCTACAAAGTCAGCATGAACACTGTGACAGCAGCACAGCAAAGTGTTTAAAATCTGTTACAGCTGATGAGGTCAAGGGCCAATTATACAGTGAGCTGGAAAACCATATATAATTCTGTTTTCACTGAAACAAAAATTCTAGAAACACTTCAAAATGAAATATTCTTGAATTGGAAAAGAAAAGGAGCTATATGATCCCTGCAGTCCTTTAAACCTCATACAGCTTTTTACGTAATAAAAAATGACATTAAAAAACAATAGTCTGGCATAGAAGAAGATCACTTTACTAGCCATACACAATTTCTTGCATTAGGAATTTGTCTTTTTGTATACCCCAGCTTGCTCTCCATGAGACACACGGGCGGGGAGAGAGAAGCTTGGGATCAGGGCACAGGGTCAGCCTTTTACATGGCACCCCTGGAGCAGCTGGAGTTAAGGACCTTGCTTAGGGGCCCAATGGAGTAGGATTCCTCTGCCGGCCACGGGATTTGAACCGGCAACCTTCCAGCCACTGGCACAGATCCTTAGCCACAGAGCAAATGCCACTTCATTTCTCATCAGAGCAGAATGAGAGTACTTATGATCCATCAAACAGTATTTGCCTCCTTTCTGTTCTGAATTTTCACATATTTTAGCCACTGAATGTTATCACAGCTTCATGTGAGTCCTAGTGATATTTAAAGGGAGCTTTAGGAAACAAATAACCAACGTTTATTTAATTTAAAAAAAGACATCCAATATCCATGTTCTTGTTTGAAAAAGTAAATACAAGGAACTTAAAAGCAACTGAATCTTTTAGTTTTTAGTTTTTAATGTATGTATACATTTAAATTTGAGCACAGAGAGTAAAACCATTTTTTACCCAAATGGTTGTGTGAGTATGGAAAAAGCACTCCAGCAATGTAGATAAAACCGATATTCTAACTTCTTTCACAAAATGGCTGGATGGCATGCTTGGTTCAATTAACAATTAACTATCAACTCTCAGATGGGGTCCTCTCATTAGTAACTTTACTTATGTTCTTTTGTCCTGGCTACAGTTTTGAAGTTCCATCAGAAACTCTTAATCCTAACCAGACCTGTCAAAGGGTGAAATGCAGGAAAACAGTCTCTCTCACATTTGGAAACCCCATTTAGGATGGTTTCTATAGTTGCACATTGCTCCAATAACCAACCTAAACTATTGATCTCCAACCTTGATGGCAATAAATAACTTCCAGGCAATACAAACCTCTCTTCTTTTTTTTTTAATAATTCGCAGGTTTCTGGGTGCAAGGGACATAATTTAAGTGAACTTACATTGTGTATGGTGTAAGAGTGTGGTACAGTACTTTTTGCTTACCTGCATCGATATCCTATTGTAATGTATGTAATCAACTACCCTTAATGACAGAAATGAAATCTAAAGAAAGTTTCAACATTTGCAAACACTAAAGTCGAACATCCTCTAAACAGTAATTATTTTTGCAAATCCCTTCTATTACAACTGAAGAAAAAATAAAACAGCAGTAGATAAACATATAATCTACATATATTTAAAGGCAATATTTCAATATTATCTGGCTTTAAATATTATATACTTAAAAAGTAATATTATGTATTCTTTTTCCATAATAATACTCCTGAGTGTGATCTTGAAACCTCAATTTATTTCTGTAGTGATGTAATGCTCTGAGAAGTATAATCTGTCAGCTATCTTATTTAATCGCACAAAAATAGGGAGTGACTTCCAATTACATGACATGAGTCTCCTCATGTTTTTTCACTGTTAGTCCACAGTCATGGCTCACCTGAGCGAATGGATGAGGTTAAACTCTGGCAGCTCGTGAAGATGGAAGATCCCAGAAGTGAAGCCTGTCACTAAAAGATGGGTCTTCTTGTGGAAAGCAGCAGCAGTCAGATTGTTGAAATCACCTTCCTTATTGAAAAAATACCTGTTCAGATCAAAAACAAAATTAGCTCTGAATATTTCTGATTACATATAGGTGAGCTCTTTTATAGCAAAAAAGTAATGCCCTCACTATGTTAGAAACAAATATTGTTCTATGAATCAACAATCTGTGTTGTTTAATTCCTATTAGAGTTTAATCTTTAAAAGTATGTGTAATGATGTAATACATATAGTAGTAATAGTAGTACCTGCGATTTAATAAAACAGGACTGACAATGTAGAACAGAATTTGTGTGTGTGTAGTCTCCTAATTTAAAAATATTACATTACAGATAGCATAATTTATTTTAATTTCATATACCTATATAGTTGTGATTATTTGGAAGAGGTCATTTATGCAGGAAAAGAATAACAGGGTAAACATTGGATTAAGTCATCCTAGTACTCCCCTAGTCTACTGCACTATAATCTATGACACCTGTGGGAAAACTACGGCCCGCGGGCCAGTTTTAACCGGCCCTTAAGGTAAAAAATAAATCAGTTAATTTTTGCCATATTCCACTTTGGTACTGTTTTTTCTTACTTTTCATTATGCGGGCCGTTAGATGGCACACAAACACTTTACCACAATGATTCAAAATTGTGCATCGCACCACCCTGGGGAGGTGCCATTGTCGGTCAGGGGCATCTCAGGTATCGCCAGTCAAACAAAAAGTTTATTATGAGCAAAACCCACTGTTCATGCACATAGAATGTACGAGCCTCAGGCTGGCTAGTTAGCTACATTGTGTCACATGATACTAGGCAAGAGAGTAGGCAGTCTGTAAGCAGTTTACCAGTTGACCGCGGCTTCTGGGCTTCATGTTTCTATGAGTGGTCATTTTGCGAGTTTTTTGTTACACAATCATAATTCAGAGGTTTTTAAATGAGTAAAAAACATGAAAGACATGGAGCTTAGTTCTTAAGATAAATGGAAATGCAAAGACAGAAAGTATTATGACAGTTTCTTGAATTTCGGTTACACATGCACAATTATGGACACTGAAGAATGTCCACTGTGTGTTGTCTGCCTTAAAGTGTTGGCTCCTGAGAGCATGCCCCCAAATAAATTGAAACGTAATTTGGAAACTGTTCACAGTAGTATTTTTTGCACAAGTTAAATGAATGAACAAAAAGCTGCTTTTTCTAACCAAAATACAGGCCCCAGCAAAGTTATTCTTTCATCATACAAAGTTCTGTACTGATTAGCACAATGCAAAACACCTCATATTATTGGAGTACCAAGGAATAAACAACAGAGCCCTGCAAATTCTGCTTCCCTTTGCAATTTCCTGCCTTTGTGAAGCGGGGTTTTCAGCACTTGCGGTTATCAAATCCAAATTCAGATCAAGAGTCAATGTTGAGAAGGAGATGCACATTGCCATTTCAAAAATACTACCCAATATTTTTGGTGAATTATGTTAACACTTTATTAAACAAGCCCACCTACCCATTAAGAGGCACAAACAAACAAAAAAAAACACTATTTTTCCACCTTTAAGAAAAATATTAATGTTAAATTTTACATTTAATTTACATTTTACAAAGATGTTGATTTTTTTTTCCCTACTGAATTAGCCCGCTATAGTTTCAAAATTTTATGTGGCCCTTGGGCCAAAAAAGTTTGCCCACTCCTGATCTCGGAAGTGAGGAGCAGTGGTTAGGGCTATAAATTCAGTATCAGGGTTATAGAATTAAGTTCAATAAAGGATTAATGCAAAGTGCTTCACTAAGACTGCTCTACCAAAATGCCCTGCACTAAAAATACACATACATGTATAATGATTACATTAATGGCTTCTTTTAAATTGCAAAATGTCAACCATCATTTTTGTAAAACAATGCAATGGTACATATACAGCATACATGTTTATAACATGCAACAATGTGTGCTTCATTTTTTACCTATATACAGTGCCTTGCGAAAGTATTCGGCCCCCTTGAACTTTTCAACCTTTTGCCACATTTCAGGCTTCAAACATAAAGATATAAATTTTTTATTTTATG